TGTTTTATTCTCTGCCTGCCAACCCACCTATCTGGTATTCCTGCTCTGCCCATTACAGGATTCTCTGTGAATTCCCTCTAGCTGTGAAGCTGTTGTCTCTTTCAAACTACCTTCTGTTCCACTCTTCCCAAGTCTGCTGGAGATGTTGAATGATAGAGAATCCTAAGCCTGGAGGTGGGATTGGGGTCCGCTCTCCACAGTCCCCCTGACTCTGTAACCTTGGAAGAGATGCTCCAGGTCTGAGCAGTTTGGATGCCATGGGAATTGGGATGGAACAAAGCTCTTTCTACAGTGAAACAACCCTTCGAGATGTCCACCCTAGCGCTTCCACAGAAACACTCTACATTTTATTTATATCCCGCCCTCCCCAGCCGAAGCCGGGCTCAGGGCGGCTAACAACAATAAAACAGTACAACAGTACAACACAACAGAACAATCTAAAATCATTCATTATAAAATTCAACCAGAGTGTAGGATGGAGGGGCTCACAGCATTGACACCCCCAGCAGGTCTGGCTTCTCCATCTGTCGCAGCTTTGGCTCCGGCACAGAGGAAGCCGGTCTCTGGGTCTCCCACAACTGTCTCTGGGTCTTGCTTTCCTAGCTAGACAGCCCCCCCATTAGCCTGGGTTGCCCCCCCCCTTTGCTGCAGTTCTTGCAACCCAGCTCCTTCTTTGGAGATGCTGAGGAGGACACTCAAGTGGCCAGAGAAGGCCCTTGTCTTGCCAAGAAACTTGTCTGTGGGAATCGTGCATCCATAATGCTATGGAAAGGGTGAATGTCTTCTAGAATTCTCTGGTGTCACCAGAAGAGAAAGCCATTCTTTTCAGTCAGGTCTGTTCTCAACTGTAGAGGATGAGTAGCCTTGGGAGTCTCTTGGGGAGATGGAAGTGATGAAAGGACTGAATCCATGAGGGAGAGCTACTTGCTCTGAGATGGGGGAACCTTCGGGCAAAGGCCAGCAGAGAAGGGATGCTGTTGACTGCTGGTTTTTGTTCCTCCCCACTTTCCCAAAGGGCGTAACATCTGAGGTCCTGTGGGAGGAAAGAGCGTCTGAGGGTCAGGGGCCAGTCTGGGCCAAAGCGCCCCTCCGCTGCCCCCACCACAGAGTCCCTGGCTCTCGTCTATATTATTGCACTTTATGTGTTGTTTATGTGCAAGATAAACATTTGATATTGTGATAAGACTATATAGAAGAGTATTGTTTATGTGACTGCACACCCAGTTACGTCTTGTGTGTTTGTCCATTCCAGGAACAGCATTCCTGACCCAGATGTTCACAAGAAGTCCCTAAGATGATTCCCCTTTCAAAGAGGATACGTGAATCTAAGCCAGTAGGGTCCTCCTCTCTGGCAGACGGACAACCCCGTCCCCAAAGCCCCACTTCCCAGACTTCCCCATGGGGGTCCCCCACACCACCCACCACTCACCAGGATGGCTTTGGCGATCTCCTGCTTGGAGCAGTTCTGGGTTCAGAGCCCCCTGAGCTGAGCTGCCTGGAAGTTCTGAATCACCTCCGGCAGGTACAGCTGATCTTCCTCCAGCAGCTGAAAGGCAAAAGTCAGGCTGTCAGTTCCTCACGAAGGGAGGGCTTCTCCACACCCGAGAGTGCAGAGTGGGGGGCAAGGAGGGCAGGTCTGAGTCCCTGCTCTGGTCTGAGTCATCACCCCTGGGTGAGGGATGTGGAACCGCTGCACATCTGCAAAGAGAAGGACATGGGGACAGGTGAGTCTGTCCCTGAGAACCTGGCAAGGCTATTCCAAGAGTGTTCTCCTGGATTCCAAGTCCTACTGCAGGGGAGGAGGGACATCCCAAGCCTTGGCGGTCAATCCTGGCCTCCTTCAACCAGAATGTGGCTCCCCAGGCTACCAAGATGGTCAATATCCGGTTCCACTCCACCCTTTCAAAATTTAAATCTCAAAACAGATCCCAACTTTCAGAGCATGTTTAGGACCCATTTGGGCAGGGGTACAGACGTTTGGTCCGTAACACGTGGATCATCAGTCTGCGTCTCACGTGTTCTGTGTTTTAAAGGTCTCTGAGATCTCTTGATGAAGGGAGGGAGATGCTCAGAGTCCAGCCAAGAGCCTCACCCCCAAAAGGATATCTGGGCATTGAGGGAGCCAGGGGGGCAGCTGCCCCCCGAAATCCATTAAAAATAATAAGAATCCGAGGTTCTGCCAAGCGAGAGAGGGCTGAGCTGGAGGGACTCGGCTTGGCAAGGGTTAAAGGGAAGTGAGCTGCCTTCCTAGAGAGGACAGGAAGCAAGGGGGGGCCAGGTCTTCCAGAGCCAAGGCCCCTCCCTCCCCAGTCCTTTCCTGCAAGGAAGGGGGGGGTGTTGCTTTGTGTCTCTGCTGCAAGGGCTGCCTCGCTGCCCCTTCGTGGGATCTGGTGAGTCTCCTCTCTCTCTGGGATCTGGTGAGTCTCCTCTCTCTCTGGGATCTGGTGAGTCTCCTCTCTCTCTGGGATCTGGTGGGGGTCCCAGGGCTGCAGCAGGGGAGAGGGCCTGGGGGGGGCTGATCTGCTCCTGCGGGGGGGGGGACCCCAAGTCAGGGAGGAGAGGGTCCTGCCAGGGAGGGGCCAGGTCTGCCACGCTCTCCTTCCTGCAGATCAGAGGATCCCAAACCCAGTTGGCCCTCCGCCCCCCCCTTTCAGAAAAGATCTCCCTTCTTCAAACAAAGGAGTCCCTGGGACTTTAACTCTGTGTGACGTCGCTCAGCCTCATTGCACAACAGAGGAAACATCTGCAAATGGTTTTCCAAAGCTGGACGAGGAGGTGGACTAGCCCCCCCCCAAAAAAAAGGTGGGAAAGAGAGGCCAGGAATAAAGAGAGGGATCCCAGGCCATAGTCTGGCTGCTGCATTGGGGACCAGTTTCCCAGTGTCTCCCAGGGCAGCTCCCCACGGAGCCACTGCAGCAATCCCTCGCACCCAGAGCAGGGCATCCCAGGACCACATCCTCTCTCTCCCAAAGGGATTGTTGCTGGAAAACCAGCCGGAAATGGGCGCTGCTACTCACCGAGCCTCCAGGGACCTTGGCATCAATGGCTGTGTGTGTTAAGCCATCTACCTCTCTTTTAAATCAGAACGAGTGAAGGCGGTGAAGGTCCTTTGTGAGTGTCTGGAAGCGGTTGGAGGATGGATGGCGGCTAACAGATTGAGGTTGAATCCTGACAAGACAGAAGTACTGTTTTTGGGGCAGGAGGTGAGCAGGTGTGGAGGATTCCCTGGTCCTGAATGGGGTAACTGTGCCCCTGAAGGACCAGGTGCGCAGCCTGGGAGTCATTTTGGACTCACAGCTGTCCATGGAGGCACAGGTTAACTCTGTGTCCAGGGCAGCTGTTTACCAACTCCATCTGGTACGTAGGCTGAGACCCTATCTGCCTGCGGACTGTCTCGCCAGAGTGGTGCATGCTCTGGTTATCTCCCGCTTGGACTACTGCAATGCGCTCTACGTGGGGCTACCTTTGAAGGTTACCCGGAAACTACAACTAATCCAGAATGCGGCAGCTAGACTGGTGACTGGGAGCGGCCGCCGAGACCATATAACACTGGTCTTGAAAGACGTACATTGGCTCCCAGTACGTTTCCGAGCACAATTCAAAGTGTTGGTGCTGACCTTTAAAGCCCTAAACGGCCTCTGTCCAGTATATCTGAAGGAGCGTCTCCACCCCCATTGTTCTGCCCAGACACTGAGGTCCAGCTCCGAGGGCCTTCTGGCGGTTCCCTCACTGCGAGAGGCCAAGTTACAGGGAACAAGGCAGAGGGCCTTCTCGGTAGTGGCGCCCACCCTGTGGAACGCCCTCCCATCAGATGTCAAAGCGATAAACATCTACCTGACATTCAGAAGACATCTTTAGGCAGCCCTGTTCAGGGAAGTTTTTAATATGTGACATTTTAGTGTATCTTTCATCTTTGTTGGAAGCCGCCCAGAGTGGCTGGGGAAACCCGGCCAGATGGGCGGGGTACAAATAATAAATTATTATTATTATTATTACTAATAATAAATTACACACCTAAATTTCAAGGGAGATGTCTTTCGCCCTGCGAACATGGCCCTCAGGGGGTTGACCAGATACATTCCTGGCCCTCAGAGCAAAGAAAAAGGGACCCCACCCCAGGAGTCTGTCTGGAGAGCGGCAGAGAGTCCAAGTGCAAGAAAAGGAGACAGAAGCAGGGGAGTGGGGGTGGGGGGAGAACAACTCCTGAGGACCCCCAGGTGAGTACCCCCACTAGAGCCAAGCATCCATTATTCACAATATACAAGTGACTCCCTTGTCGGTCAGTTCTGACTTCATGCATTGACTGGAAGGCAGCAGAAACCAGACTGATTCACCTCACATTAATCCGTTCAGTTGCCTCCACATTTTGCATTGCTAGAGACATATTTCTTCTCCTCCTACTCTTCTTTCCCGCAAAAAAGATAGCTCATGGACTGGAATGCGGTGCAGTCCAGCCCTAGTTCCCAGCAAGACTCATCCATGCTTGCTCAGGGAATCTCTTTCTTCTACTGACCTACAAATTCTGTAACAGAACAATGTATTTGCTTTGTAGGATTTGCTAGAGCTTCTCATTTAGACGGACAGAACTTGGCAGAAGACCAAAGGGTTTCTTCCGATCTCTCAGAGGCTTCCTGAGAGCACAGATGGATGTGCGAGACTCAGCTGGCCATGGAGCAGGAAGAGGCCATGACATCCAAACTGGGAGCAGTGGGGGATTCTGGGAAAACTCTGTGCAGAAGATCCTGGGTGAGGAGGACACCCTCCGCTCAGAGATGCAGAGCCAGCAGTTGAGGCAGTTCTGCTGCCAGGAGGCCAAAGGACCCCGAGAGGTTTGCAGCCGACTCTACCACCTTGACCATCAGTGGCTGAAGCCAGAAAGGCACACGAAAGCTGAGATGTTGGACCTGGTGATCTTGGAGCAGTTCCTGGCTGTCCTTCCCCCGGAGATGGAGAGCTGGGTGAGGGACTGCGGAGCGGAGACCAGTTCGCAGGCGGTGGCCCTGGCCGAAGGTTTCCTCCTGAGTCAGGCAGAGGAGAGAAAGCAGGTGAGAGAGACTTTCCTCTGGATACTCCAAAGGGGCTCCAAACAGGATGGAGAACATCCCATAATGCTCTACTGTTGGCCCATCCGTTTTCTGGGAAGGCATCCATGGAATGAGATGTAACAGCCTGAATGTTTTTGTCTTTGTCATTCTTTTACTAATATTTCTCCCCATTCTCTGTTTTGAATCCTTGTTTCTTTTCAGGGAACGGATCTCTTTGCAGAAATGGACCTGGGTTCCTGTGAGACAGAGAGGCCTCCCTTGGACACCAGAGAGCGGCCACTGGGTAAGGAGGAAGGTGGTTTTTCTCCACTGGTGTCATTCTGTTGGTTTTCCAACTCATCTGAGGGTTCTTTGTCACGGCTAAAAATTGGCAGCTGTTTCTTTAATGCTTAAAAAGCTGGGTCAGCATGAGTCAGCGGCCTGCACCAGGTTGTATATATAGAGTGAGAAATGTTAGTTTGGTTGGGTTGGTTGGTTGGTGAAAGCTGGTAGTGTTGGTGTGTGTGTGAGATTTTGACCAGCTTCGACCCATCTGAAGCTGATACAGGCTCGTCTTATATTGAGCCCAAGCTGAGTAGTCCACACAGCAGAAGGATAAGCAGTATGTGCCACATTCTCAACTTTATTTCCACTCTATGCTGAGAGAATACAAACATGCATCTTGCCTCTGTGAGAGTAGAGAAGCAACCTGTCTCTCTAACAGAGAAACCGAGAGAAGAGTGAAAAACAGGAAACCAGTGTACGTCACATCCAGTCTCCCATTCCTGTGGGAATCCAACAGTAACTTGGAGTGTGGAATGCAAAACAATTTCTTGTGACATGCATTCACTGCTTAGTGAGGAAGCAGAAACCAACAGTGTGTACAGTTGGTCATTCGCTTTTGCAGAAAGGCTTTTAAGAATAAAAGCAGAAAGCACTCTGCAAGGATACTCTTCTTGTGGACTCTTTTATGCCAACAAGTGTCCGAGGACCAGGCTGAGGCAACAAAGGGAGGTCAGAACATTTTATTTTTTTTACAAACATTGACAGGTTATGGGCCCAGTGTTTCTGAGCTTGTGCAGAGTGCAAAACGACTGACAGCATCTGAGCAGGGAGCTGGTGAGTCCTGGTGGTGTATGGAGCCAGTGGCTGTGCGTTGGAGCAGTTGGTGGCAAGCTGTAACTGTCTGCAGTGACGCTGGGGCAGCTAGGATCTGAGGATCAGGAAAGCACTCAGCATCGGCTACTGGAAGAGTCTGAACTCCTAGAGGACCACAGTAGGCGACTCACAGAGCAGCTACACCAGTACTCTGCAAGGATACTCTTCTCGGGGACTCTTTTATGCCAACAGAACCTTTTTTTTTTATACAAACACTGATATTCTTTTCATATTGTTTTGCGGGGAGAAAGTTGGGAACAAGGGTCCAGAGGAGGGGAGATGGGTTTTTGCACATCTAACATATGAAATGGGCACAAACCTCCAAATGCTCTCAGCAAGTATGGCTTTCTGAAAGGCCCATCTGTAGTTAGAGATGCCCTGTTTCCCCTGTGAGAGAAGCAGGCACTCCTGGCGTCCTGTTTACATTTTCTCTCTTGCAGGTGACAGAATGATGCCAGCAAAACCTCCTGATCCGCCTTTTCATGGGGGCAGAAGGGAAGCAGCGGCTGTGGAACCAGATCAGGTCAGGGGAAGCTGCCTTGTGGGGACAGAGGCCGAGGGATGGAGCAATGTCATGGACTGGTTGGGCACAGAGGAATGGTGGGAAGAAGCAGCCGGGGAACCAGGAAGGGAAGACATCTTAGAGACCAAGGAGTGGAGGTGGAGGAAGGATGAGTGATCAGAGGGAGAAGCCTGGGAAGAGGAGATGTCAGAAGCTGAAGGGGAAACAGGGCTTAGTGAGCTGGGAGACTCTGTGGCAGAATGCAGTGCAGAATCAGAGGCAGAAGAGGAAGGAGGCGAGTGGGAGAGGAAAGTCGAGAGGCAGAGGTGAGTCAGCAGAAGGAGGAGCCATCGGTGGCTCCCTCTCCTTCTGCCAGAAGCCACCCTCCCTGCTTGTCTCTCAGAGCCAGGAAACCCCCTGCGTTGCAGGAATCTCTGCTAGATTATGCAAACTTACAGACCCTCTGGGAATGAGCTGCTGTTCTCATGAGGCCCGAAACTCAGCCAAGTCTGTGAATATCGTGTTCTTGCCAAGAAAGTGTGAACTCCAGCTGTGTACTGTGGGATTTCCTACCCATAGAACTCTGACACCAGCCTTCTGAATTTTGCCAGTAGGATTCATCTGTAGTTGCAGTTTTCATGGAATCCTAGAGTTGAAAGGGACCCCAAGGGTCATCAAGTCCCACCCCCTGCATTGCTAGGTCATCCAAGACAGATGGCCATCCAAAATTGTTGTTGTTGTTTAGTCGTGTCCGACTCTTCGTGACCCCATGGACCAGAGCACGCCAGGCACTCCTGTCTTCCACTGCCTCCCACAGTTTGGTCAGACTCATGTTTGTAGCTTCGAGAACACTGTCCAACCATCTCATTCTCTGTCGTCCCCTTCTCCTTGTACCCTCCATCTTTCCCAACATCAGGGTCTTTTCCAGGGAGTCTTCTCCTCTCATGAGGTGGCCAAAGGATTGGAGCCTCAACTTCATGATCTGTCCTTCCAGTGAACACTCTGGGCTGATTTCCTTAAGAATGGATGCGTTTGATCTTCTTGCAGTCCATGGGACTCTCAAGAGTCTTCTCCAGCACCATAACTCAAAAGCATCAATTCTTCGGTGATCAGCCTTCTTTAAGGTCCAGCTCTCACATCCATACATCACTGCTGGGGAGACCATGGCTTTAACTATACGGACCTTTGTTGGTAAGGGGATGTGTCTGCTTTTTAAGATGCTGTCTAGGTTTGCCATCGCCTTTCTCCCAAGGAGCAGGCGTCTTTTAATTTCGTGACTGCTGTCACCATCTGCAGTGATCATGGATCATGGAGTGGCCATGATCTTCGTTTTTCTGGTGTTGAGCTTCAGACTATATTTTGCGCTCTCCTCTTTCACCCTCATTAAAAGGTTCTTTAATTCCTCCTCACTTTCTGCCATCAAGGTTGTATCATCTGCATATCTGAGGTTGTTGATATTTCTTCCGGCGATCTTAATTCCGGCTTGGGATTCATCCAGCCCAGCCTTTCGCATGATGAATTCTGCATATAAGATAAATAAGCAGGGGGACAATATACAGCCTTGTCGTACTCCTTTCCCAATTTTGAACCAATCAGTTGTCCCATATCCAGTTCCAACCTGTAGCTTCTTCTCCCACATTTAGATTTCTCAGGAGACAGATGAGGTGATCAGGCATTCCCATTTCTTTAAGAACTTGCCATAGTTTGCTGTGGTCGACACAGTGAAAGGCTTTTGCATAGTCAATGAAGCAGAAGCAGATGTCTTTCTGGAACTCTCTAGCTTTCTCCATAATCCAGCGCATGTTTGCAATTTGGTCCCTAGTTCCTCTGCCTCTTCTAAATCCAGCTTGCACTTCTGGGAGTTCTCGGTCCACATACTGATTAAGCCTGCCTTGTAGAATTTTAAGCATAACCTTGCTAGTGTGTGAAATGAGTGCAATTGTGCGGTAGTTGGAGCATTCTTTGGCACTGCCCTTCTTTGGGATTGCGATGTAGACTGTTCTTCTCCAATCCTCTGGCCACTGCTGAGTTTTCCAAATTTGCTGGCATATTGAGCGTAGCACCTTAACAGCATCATCTTTTAAAATTTTAAATAGTTCAGTTGGAATATCATCACTTCCACAGGCCTTGTTATTAGCAGTGCTTTCTAAGGCCCATTTGACTTCACTCTCCAGGATGTCTGGCTCAAGGTCAGCAACCACACTACCTGGGGTGTACGAGACATCCATTTCTTTCTGGTATAGTTCCTCTGTGTATCTGTGTATTCTTGCCACCTCTTCTTGATGTCTTCTGCTTCTGTTAGGTGCTTTCCACTTTTGTCTTTTATTATGGTAATCTTTGCACGAAATGTTCCTTTCATATCTCCAATTTTCTTGAACAGATCTCTGGTTTTTCCCATTCTATTGTTTCCCTCTATTTCTTTGCATTGCTCGTTTAAGAAGGCCTTCTTGTCTCTCCTTGCTATTCTTTGGAAATCTGCATTCAATTTCCTATATCTTTCACTATCTCCCTCGCATTTTGCTTGCCTTCTCTCCCCCACTATTTGTAAGGCGTCGTTGGACAGCCACTTTGCTTTCTTGCATTTCCTTTTCATTGGGATGATTTTAGTTGCTGCCTCCTGTATAATGTTACGAGCCTCCATCCATAGTTCCTCAGGCACTCTGTCCACCAAATCTAAATCCTTAAACCTGTTCCTCACTTCCACTGTGTATTCATAAGGGATTTGACTTAGATTGTATCTTACCGGCCCAGTGGTTTTTCCTACTTTCTTCAGTTTAAGCTTGAATTTTGCTATAAGAAGCTGATGATCTGAGCCACAGTCAGCTCCAGGTCTTGTTTTTGCTGACTGTATAGAGCTTCTCCATCTTTGGCTGCAGAGAATATAATCAATCTGATTTTGATGCTGCCCATCTGGTGATGTCCATGTGTAGAGTCGTCTCTTGTGTTGTTGGAAAAGAGTGTTTGTGATGACCAGCTTGTTCTCTTGGCAGAACTCTATTAGCCTTTGCCCTGCTTCGTTTTGAACTCCAAGGCCAAACTTGCCAGTTGTTCCTTTTATCTCTTGACTCCCTACTTTAGCATTCCAATCCCCTATAATGAGAAGAACATCCTTCTTTGGTGTCATTTCTATAAGGTGTTGTAAGTCTTCATAGAATTGGTCATTTTCAGTTTCTTCAGCACCAGTAGTTGGTGCATAAACTTGGATTACTGTGATGTTAAAAGGTCTGCCTTGTATTCGTATCGAGATCATTCTATCATTTTTGAGATTGCATCCTAGTACAGCTTTTGCCACTCTTTTGTTGACTATGAGGGCCACTCCATTTCTTTTACAGGATTCTTGCCCACAGTAGTAGATGTGATGGTCATCCGAACTGAATTCGCCCATTCCCGTCCATTTTAGCTCACTGATGCCCAGGATGTCAATATTTATTCTCGCCATCTCATTTTTGACCACATCCAACTTACCCAGGTTCATGGTTCTTACATTCCAGGTTCCTATGCAATATTTTTCTTTACAGCATTGGACTTTCCTTTCGCTTCCAGGCATATCCGCAACTGAGCGTCCTTTCGGCTTTAACCCAGCCGCTTCATCAGCTCTGGATCTGCTTGTACTTGTCCTCCGCTCTTCCTCAGTAGCATGTTGGATGCCTTTCGACCTGAGGGGCTCATCTTCCAGCGTCATAACTTTTATATGCCTGTTGTCTTTGTCCATGGAGTTTTCTTGGCAGGGATACTGGAGTGGCTTGCTGGTTCCTGCTCCAGGTGGATCATGTTTGGTCAAAACTCTCCACTATGACCTGTCCATCTTGGGTGGCCCTGCACCACATAGCTCATAGCTTTTCTGAGTTATTCAAGCCCCTTCGCCATGGCAAGGCAGTGATCCATGAAGGGGGCCATCCAAAATAGGCTTATATTATTTCTAGACTGATCACTGAATGCAAAAATTGGTTTCTAAGCAGTGGACAAATGAGAACAAATAGTGGCCTGGATTCACCTAACCAGCGCCATCCGCTGGAAAATGGAGCCTGCCCCCCATTCCTCCCCTCCCCCTCTCCATGCCCCCATGAACCCCTTGAATTTGGCCCTAGGGCATTGGGAGGGAACCTCCCCAGAACAACTCACGAGGAGAGGAGAAAGTGGATCCTTCCATCGGGGAAACTGGAATGCTTGCGTAGGCAGAGTGACTTGAAAACCACAAGGTGGAGTACCACCTATTTGCACAAAGACGGATACCCATAATTAAAAGGCAGAATAAAATAAGCATCCATAAATAAAATGTGCAGCTAGCAATCCTATTGAAACAACACCGCAACCCAGCCAGATGGGCGGGGTATAAATAATAAATTATTATTATTATTATTATTATTATTTACAGGAAGGAAACAACAGCATTGTGTAGCAGATCATATTTCTGCTGTCTCAGAGGAGGACATTTCCCTTTTTCTTTTAGGGTCCAGTCTGCTTGGAAGATGTCACCATTCGTTTCACGGACGAGGAGTGGGCGTTCCTGGATCCTGACCAGAGAGCTCTGCATAAGGACGTCATGGAGGAGACTCGTGGGATCGTGGCCTCTCTTGGTAAGGCTCCCTGTGGGATCATCATATCAGCCTGGAAATTCAACACATACCTCTATGGAACCAACCTCATATATTTTCACAGAGCTCAACAGTGCCCCCTATAACACCTGGGAACCTAACACCCCCACAATAAACAGTAACTTACAGTTTTTTCTTTGAACAATCTTCCTCAAATTATTCCTTTTCCTACCACGATCAGGCTGGTCTGAACTGCCCAGGCCATCTTCAATGTCAGCTTCAGAATTGTTAGGAAAGATAAGTTGTGAGCTTTAGAGCTTACAGGGTTAACAGCTCAGAATGTCCTGCATCTGGGGAGGAGCTTTCTCAACATCCGGGAAAGCTGTTTCTTCGTTCTTTCTGACTTTCGTTTTCTGCTGAGACATGGAAGACGCAACGTCTGCATCTTCCGATGGTTTATCTTGCTGTACATACAATAAAGCTTTCTTATTTAGAGGAACAGCAGTGTATTGGACTCTGAGTTCTGCAAGCTCACACACACAAGCAGCACTCACTGTGCCGCTCTGCTACAAGTCCAGGAAATGTGGAGCTTCAGGTTTTCTGTTTTTGTTTTTGCTCCTGTCAGTCTTGGGTTGACCAAAGAAACAACTGACAATGGAGATGGAGGGGATGCCATGGTTGGGCCAAACAAAATTCATCCCAGAGAGCTGTGGAAACGTACCGGACACCACATACGTAGCTTCAGGTTTTCTGGTTTTGTATTTGCTCCTGTCAGTCTTGGGTTGATCAAAAACATTAGGAAGAACTTCCTGACAGTAAGAGCTGTTTGACAGTGGAATTTGCTGCCAAGGAGTGTGGTGGAGTCTCCTTCTTTGGAGGTCTTTAAGCAGAGGCTTGACAGCCATATGTCAGGAGTGCTCTGATGGTGTTTCCTGCTTGGCAGGGGGTTGGACTCGATGGCCCTTGTGGTCTCTTCCAACTCTATGATTCTATGAAAGAAATGACTGACAATGGAGATGGAGGGGATGCCATGGTTGGGCCAAACAAAATTCATCCCAGAGAAGAGCTAGACTTATTGAATCTCAGGTAGTAGTAGCAGTGATGATGATGATGATGATGATGATGATGATGATGAAGATGGTTTACAAACTTAATCTTTTCCAGAACAGAACTGTTCTCAAATCAATGTAACACTGTAGTAGAATCATAGAATCATAGAGTTGGAAGAGACCACAAGGGCCATCGAGTCCAACCCCCTGCCAAGCAGGAAACACCATCAGAGCACTCCTGACATATGGTTGTCAGGCCTCTGCTTAAAGACCTCCAAAGAAGGAGACGCCACCACACTCCTGGGCAGCAAATTCCACTGTCGAACAGCTCTTACTGTCAGGAAGTTCTTCCTAATGTTTAGGTGGAATCTTCTTTCTTGTAGTTTGGATCCATTGCTCCGTGTCCGCTTCTCTGGAGCAGCAGAAAACAACCTTTCTCCCTCCTCTATGCGACATCCTTTTATATATTTGAACATGACTATCATATCACCCCTTAACCTCCTCTTCTCCAGGCTAAACATGCCCAGCTCCCTTAGCCGTTCCTCATAAGGCATCGTTTCCAGGCCTTTGACCATTTTGGTTGCCCTCCTCTGGACACGTTCCAGTTTGTCAGTGTCCTTCTTGAATTGTGGTGCCCAGAACTGGACACAGTACTCCAGGTGAGGTCTGACCAGAGCAGAATACAGTGGCATTATTACTTCCCTTGATCTAGATGCTATACTCCTATTGATGCAGCCCAGAATTGCATTGGCTTTTTTAGCTGCCACGTCACACTGTTGGCTCATGTCAAGTTTGTGGTCAACCAAGACTCCTAGATCCTTTTCACATGTACTGCTCTCAAGCCAGGTGTCACCCATCTTGTATTTGTGCCTCTCATTTTTTTTGCCCAAGTGCAATACTTTACATTTCTCCCTGTTAAAATTCATCTTGTTTGTTTTGGCCCAGTTCTCTAATCTGTCAAGGTCATTTTGAAGTGTGATCCTGTCCTCTGGGGTGTTAGCCACCCCTCCCAGTTTGATGTCATCTGCAAATTTGATCAGGATGCCCTTGAGTCCATCATCCAAGTCGTTGATAAAGATGTTGAATAAGACCGGGCCCAAGACAGAACCCTGTGGCACCCCACTAGTCACTCTTCTCCAGGATGAAGAGGAACTATTGATGAGCACTCTTTGGGTTCGGTCAGTCAGCCAGTTACAAATCCAAGCCAGTTACAAATCCAAATAATAATATTTTTTATTTATACCCTGCCCATTTGGCTGGGTTGCCCAAGCCACTCTGGGCAGATTCCAACACATATATAAACATGAAACATAAATAATAGTCTGATCCCATATAAATAGAACATTAACTTTAAAGTGAACTTCTCCTAGTAGCCAAAATTGTGGAAACCTTTTGTGAAAAGTGTATTTCTGAGGTTTGATGGCTCATAACACCACTTTTGTGTGGAGTAATACCATAAAATTATATAGCAATGAAGGATAATCTAATGAAGAATGTAATGAAAGAACTTTTATGAAGGAGTATTTATGAGAACAGCAGTCATACCCATTGGCAACCTTTAGCTTTAATTAAGGCCTTACAATGCCTTCCCATGATATGAACCAAGTTTTTAGTACTGCAGCTGTAATAAAGTGAAACCAAGATTAAATTATTGCCTCTGTTAATTGGACTTTATTGCTGGGTTGCTTCTGACTAACAAGTTTCTTTAGTCGGCTCCATAGATTTCTGATTGGGTTAAAGTTTGGGCTATTCCCAGGCCATTCCGGCAGTGAAATATCTTTATCTTGAAAGCACCTTTTGCACACAGCAGCAACACGACATGGAGCGGAATCCTGTTGAAATAGAAAATAGAATATATATGTGTGTGTGTGTGTGTGTGTGTGTGTGTGTGTGTGTGATGTTTCCAAGGGGTTGCTCGAGAGCAAGCAGGCAAATATATCCCTGCTTAGCTGTGAAGCCTTGCTTTTGCTGCCAAAATAAACCTTATCCATCCGGAGCGCCACTCTCCCGTGGCTGGCTCAGTCGTTGGCAGAATCCGTGAGTGGGCGGTTCCTAAACTTTCCCCAGCAAAGCAGCTTCTTGACTCCCAGTCTGCACCTCCCCTCTCTGCGCGGATGCTTTCTGCGCAAGGAGGGTGTGGGTAACAGAGGACCCCTCTCCTCCCCACTTTGCCCAGGCAAGTTGTCCTGGCACTGTCTTGCCTCTTCCGACTCCTGCAGCGCCGCTCCACTGGAGGCGTCTTTATTCTCCTCCGTTGAAGAGGAGCTGCTTCCCACGATCCCTGGAGGCTCTCTGTAATCCATTCGGCTTTTCCTCTCTCCCTCCTGAACCGAGGGCAGTTCCCTGACAACGTGCTTCAGCATCTGGGAAAAGATCACCTGAGGAACGCTTCAGTTTGCGCGCAAGTCTTTCATTTATGCATTTTAGGGCATTTACATCCCCATTAATGATGTAAATTTTGCCCACACCTTTTGCTGCCATACAACCCCAGATCAACACAATATCTGAGTGTTTCGTGGTCGGTGTAATGCAAGTGGATGTAAATCTTATCTGATTTGGGTCTCATTGCTCCAAATAACACTGTTCCATTGTTCAGCTGTCCAGTTAACATGGGTTTAATCTTTTCAACCTTTGCTTGTGAGATGACAATGGCTTATTCCTTAGAATTATAACATTTTGACCAGTCCTTGCACTCAACTTCACATTAAATTGCGCCATGTCATCTTGTATACACCCAGATTATTTTCTTCTGTCATGTAGGGACAGTCTCTCCACTCGTCCATCGTTACTTGCCTTTGTGCACCTTTCCCTGCCTTTACCGGTCTGATTTTATAGTGACTAAGTCTCCTGATACCTCTTCAAAAATATATAATGGCCAGTCTGGTTAAGTTTTTCCTTATCTTTCATCAGTTTCTTCATAACTGTAGCATTGTTCATTAAACAGTACAATTTTACATCGCTTTCTGGATGACCAGTCAACTCTTTGTGCCATTTCTATAATTTTATTATGTTTTACAAGAACACAAAAAAAACCAACCACAAAAAGACACACAGTCAACCTAAGCAAGTTGTGCTTCCTTTTTCTGGTTATTTGGCTATAACATTAGATAGAATATGGGTAAATGAACAATTTCCGTTGATACATAATTGTATGATATTACTCCAAAAGAAGCAGTGTTATGAGCCATCAAACCTCTGAAATACACTTTTCTGCAAAAGTCTTCCACAATTTTGGCCACTACTCTATAGCAAACAAAGCAGCAGTCAACAACTCAACAAAATCTGATAATAAATATGTTGGTTATTGACAAACAACAAAGGTAAGAAACACACACTGAACTCCCTTAATTTCTTCTCCATTTGTTCTTGAGGCTCTAATCCCTTTTTGTCCCCATTGCAGATTATGATGAAATCAAGAACAAAGGTGACCACGATAAAATCCCCAGAGAGGAAAAGCCACGTGAAAATTTGGAGTGTGGAGAAAGCTGCAGTCAGCGCTCCCATTCCACTTCCCATCAACAAAATATCCTTGGAAAGAAACTCTATCAGTGTGTGGAAAGTGGAAAGAGCTTCAGTTCGAGCTCGGATCTCACTAAGCATCAGAGAATTCATACAGGGGAGAAACCCTATCAGTGCATGGAATGTGGAAAGAGCTTCAGTCAGGGCTCCTCTCTCACTAGGCATCAGAGAATTCATACAGGGGAGAAACCTATCAGTGCGTGGAATGTGGAAAGAGCTTCAGTAGGAGCACCGATCTCACTTCCCATCAGAGAATTCATACAGGGGAGAAACCCTATCAGTTTGCGGAATGTGGAAAGAGCTTCAGTAAGAGCTCCAAACTCACTTCCCATCAAAGAATTCATACTGGGGAGAAACCCTATCAGTGTGTGGAATGTGGAAAGAGCTTCACTTATAGCTCCAAACTCACTCGCATCAAAGAATTCATACTGGGGGAGAAACCGATCAGTGTGTGGATGTGGAAAGAGCTTCAGTCACAGCTCTGATCTCACTTCCCATCAAAGAATTCATACTGGGGAGAAACCCTATCAGTGTGTGGAATGTGGAAAGAGCTTCAGGAAGAGCTCCTCTCTCACTTCCCATCAAAGAATTCATACTGGGGAGAAACCCTATCAGTGTGTG